AAAGGAACTGCGTCGAAGTAAAATTCAGTTCTCAAATAACCTTATTTGAAGGACACTCCTTTAGTGCCCACTATACATTGTATTTTAATAATCCAAACTGTCTATTTTTTAGGTATCTCTACAAAAACAAAAACAAAACCACTCAAATTTGAAACCATAGTTTGGATGATTGAAATATAATTCGTAGTGAACCCCACAACGTAACTTAATACAAAACTAATATTTCTGCCCCACCCCATAAAATGCTTTTATATTACAAACTATTGATTTTTAGGCCCATTTCAAAGATCATCTATGCAGAAACAAAATAAAGCTATAAAATAGATTACGATTTGATTATTTTCATGATAATCAATTTTATATGCGTTAGAAATTTTTTCTACATATCTATGTGTATGTGACCTCGTGGTGAAAAAACAAACACACACACACTGTTACCAAAAAAAAAAAAAAACACATTATATAATTGTTTTTGATAATCACATTGTATTTGATATGTGTCCAATATTATCTTATAAAAAAGGATATGTGCAACAAATTAGCAAGATGCAAATGCTAAATTGCCTTAGAGGCGATTGCGTTTGAAAACAACTAGTTTGTAAAATAAAGCTTGACGGAAATTTTATTATTGTTTATAAATAGAACCAAACTTTACTTTAGGTTTCAAAACGAACTAGAAGTAGGACCAAACTGAGGTCTTTCTTATGGTTTATTTATGACAATGTTTTTTTTCGGTTCCTCCCCTCCCCGCACTCCTATCCGAAAAAGGGCAGAGGCACATTGGAGTAAACCTAGTCCACATGAACCGGCATCACAGTCCGTCTTTTTTTTATTTTTTTTAATTTTTTTTTATTTTATACAAGCGATATTGGAGAAGGGGAGAATCGAACCTAGGACCTTGTAATGTCATATGTGATGTGACCAATTAATTCATATTATAACATGTGAAGTAAAAATGAAATATTGTACATATATTATAACATGTAGGTGAGTTAATTGAACCATGTGGTAGTATGACAATCACACTAAAGTTTTTTCCGTTTAGACATGTCTTTTGTTTATCAAACAGTACTAACAAAGAGCTTATTAGAATTCGAAACCCAAAATTGCAGTATTTAAAATCAAGTTGCATATATATATATATATATATATATAAAGTATTTATATATGTGATACATGTACAAAGAATTTTTATTTATTTTTATAATAAGCGATAGTTCTTATTGATTAACAAACAAAAGTACAAAGCAATATGTGCGTAGTGACCAAACACAACAACATGTTGAATTTATAGATGCAATATGTACAAAGCAACGGTATAAACGAAAAATACGTATCTAAAGCCGAAAACTACAAATATATAAAATATTCTAAATAGAAAACAAACCACAACAAACTCCTAACGAGTTCTTGAAATTTATTACACTAAAAAAACTAAGAAGTAAGACCACGACTCCACATCCTCCTAGGCAACCTGAAGAGAGGCAAAGCGGCATACTGGCTAAACCCATAGTGTCGCACCGACTAAACTCTCCCAACATAATCCAACTTCTCCCCTTCTTTGTAGCTCCAAACTATATATCGAAGGTTGACAATTTGAGCCAAATTCTTGTGTACGTGGGCCCAAAAACAGCTACTATATCATGGCGACGACAACATTTCACGGCGGCTACTTCCACATCACAAAACAAACTAATAAAGAAGATCCTGAGGAAAGGGAGGGAAGGCAGGAGAAAGTGGTAGGGAGGGAAGCCATCGACCCCCAAGGGGGCAGCGGCTGTGACCTTTTTCCTTAGAGTTTTCTCAAAGAGTATTTAGGTTTTCTCTGGTAACATGAAGATAACTTATATATATATATATATATATATATATATATATATATATAGAGAGAGAGAGAGAGAGAGAGAGAGAGAGAGAGAGAGAGAGAGTACTTTATTGACAAGACGAATAAAAACAAGTACAAAGCCACTATGATGCCAAAGATTTATAAATCTTCTCTAGTGACTAAATACAACAACAAGTTGAATTGATCTGTAGAGATCACGCACAATCCACAAATGGATTAAAACTCTTGATCTAACAACAAAAGCACGCCTACTCAAACCTATAATATAAATATGCCGTGAAATGATAGAAACTATCAACTGTATCAAAAGCTGAAAACTAAAAAGAAATAAAACTAACAAATGGAAACAAACTCCTAAAGAGTTCATGAAAATTACTAGACAAACAAACTAAGAAGCAGGACCACTGCTCCACATCCTCTCAGGCAACCTGAAGAGAGCCATAGTGTCATACCTGGCTAAACTTGTAGCTCATACCGACTAATTCTTGGCTAAACCCATAACGTCATACCGGCTAAACTCATAGTGCCGCATCAAGAAAATTTTAAACATACACGAATATGTAACTTATTCCGATGAAACCAATTTTGAGCCCATACACAATGTTATTATGTTTCGAACTATCGATTTTAAACCCCATTTCAAAGCTCATCTATGTAAACAATTAGCTAAACATGAAACAGATTGACGATTTATCATCATGATAATCTATGTATTTGAAATTTTTTCTACATATGTAAGCGTGTGATGTTAAGCTCATAATTTCATACATATACATGCCCTATTTACTTACTTCTTTTGCTTAGTTTCTTAGATTTCTAAGTTATTTGCCTCCCTTTGTGTGTTTTGTAGGCAAATAGAGCAAGAGAGCATAATTCATGCAATTCAAGCATGTTAAGGCCTAATTTGGATGAATGGATGAAGAGCTTAAAAGACAAACTCATTTTGGCTACAGCCCCCTGCCAGTC